TGGTTTTCGGTGGGAGAACGTGATGGATGGGAGGGTGATCTGGCTGGGAACTGTGGGAGAGGAGAAGTTTCAGATGATAAGTAGGTTGCTTTGGACAGGTGCGCTCCACAGCACCTGTTGGGTGCCCAGATGGAGATGCTGAGTGGACGGTGGGACAGGTCCACTGCTTAGTCACTCTGTCGTGTCCAACTCTTTGCGACGCTTTGGACTGTAGCCCACCAGGCTCTTCTGTCCATGGGATTCTCCAGACAAGAATACTGGAGTGGGTTGCCATTTCCTTTCCAAGGGGTCTTCCCGACCCAGGGATCAAACCCACATCTCCTGTGTCTCTTGCATCACAGGCGGATTTTTTTTTTACCAGCCATTGGGGAAGCGCCGGGAGAGGTGGAAACTGAGGCTAAAAATGAGCTTCATACCAGAGGGGAAAGGAGGGCAGAGCTATGTGTTGGGGGGGGGTGGTCCTTCCAGGGCCAGCTTGAAGGGGCCTCAGCACTCAGACCCACCTGGGGTGGGGTGGGAGGAACAGTAAACTCTGCGTACTTGTATTCACGTGCAATCAGATCATGCTGCCTTTTTAAAGACGTAGCCTGGAAGAGGAAAAGAGATAACTCAAGGATGGACTAGAGGATGAGAGTACGGATGCCTTTGTGTGCGCCCACTGTTTCTTGTCCTCACCACGGCCCACACTCCCAGTGTCTCTTGCCTGGATGGCTGCGTGAACCTCCTAATTGGTCTTTCTGCTGTAAACCTCCTCACTTGCAGTTTCTTCTCCACCCAGAACCCAGAGCAACTGCTTAAAACCCCAAATATGATCTTGTCACGTACCTGCCTAAATACACTTCAGTTATTCCTCATTGGTCTTAGGTCCAAAATTCTCCACGAAGGCCCCCCTCACCCCCAGCCTCGCCTCACACCATCTTCTTGTCCGTCCCCAAGCACCTGCCCCTCCAGTCTCTTCTCAGTTCCTCCAGTATGTCCTGCCTCCTCCTGCCCTGGGGCCTTTGCACATGCTTTCCCAGCTGGCTGTTGGTTCTTCCCCTGACTCTTCGCTGGCTACCTTCTGCTCAGCCTTCTGTCCTCAGCTCAAGTATCACCTCCCCCAGGAAGCCTCTCTTGAATCCCGTGTTGACGTTGTTGTTGTAGCCTTTGTCTCAGCGCCTTCTTTCCTTGCATGGCACTTGTCTCAGTCTGTAATTGTACACTAGAGTCAATGCTTTTGAAAGGAGCTGAAATCCTGCCCTAGGATCAGACGTGTGCTAGGATTTTCAAACCCTCAGCGGCCTCGCTAGCCGGTTGGGAGCCTGGAGGGAAGCTCAGAGGCCAGGGCCTCCACGAGGTCAGCGGCAGGGCGGAAGGCAGGTTGATAGAGCTTACTGTCGCGGCCTCCGTCCCACCCCCACCCTCCTGGAGTGGACTCTGAATGCACAAAGGTCATGCATTCTGCGTCTTGCTCCTAATAGCACAAATTATTTATTTTGGAATTGAAAATATGCCATCCCCCAGCCTTCAAAGTGGCCTTTAGAGAGGAAGACTCTCTCACTTCCCAGTGCTCTAGCAGAAACTCTGTTATGGGTCAGGACCTAGTCTGAACCCCTTCCCCTTAAGACCTCTGATTTGGTGCAGATTCCAGACTCTAGAAACTTAAAAAGTATTTCTCCTGTTCAGCGGAACAACTTGAGGCAATTAGAGTAATGTCTGCCATGTCCTGAACCATTCTCACAAGGCAGTTTATCAAATGGAAGGTGATTTTACCTTTACTATCTCATCTTATTATTGGGTATCTCAAGAGGATGTCAGCTGGTGGTAAGAATTTAGATTCTTGCCTAAACAATTGGGGTGGCCAGAATAAGTCTTAGAGAGGAGGGTCCTTAAAGACAAATTTTACACACACAAGGACAGTCAGACTCCAATCATTCACCCACCCATCCATCGTCCATCCATCCATTCAGTCTTCCACCCACCCATCCATCGTCCATCCATCCATTCACTCTTCCACCCACCCATCCATTCATCCGTCATCCATCCATCCACTCTTTCATCATCCATCCACTGTTCCATTTCATCCACCCATCCATCTGTCATCCAAATATCCACGTATCCATCCATTCATTTGTCTATCTGCATATCCACACACCCATTGTACATAAAGCTGTAAATGAATCAATCATGACCCCTTCCCGAGTGGATCTCACAGGCTAATGGAGATAAAATTCTCAGATTGGCCAAGCCTGGGTCATTTGTACACTTCTTTGCCAGGGTAGTGTGGGACAACTGGGTTGATAATTTTACCAAAATTGCATCATTAAGAGTAGTGTCTCAAAGGTACACACTGGGGTGCTGTTATCAGAAGAAGCGGGGAATGATGCCAGGTAGGTAGATTCAACAGATGTCACCTAGATTAGAGGCATTTAATTATCATGGCTGGAGGGATGAAAAGGGGCCTGTGAGGATGACACTAGCCTCTCTTCATCTGTAGCACAAGGACAGGTTGGTTCCCTTGATTTTCTCTGGCCAAATTTCAGGGTTTGGATTTTGAGTCCTGTCACAGGGTCCCAAGAGCATCCATCTCTTTCTGGATCGTTGTGTTGTTTAGTCGCTCAGTCATGTCTGACTCTTTTGCAACCCCATGGGCTGTAGCCCGCCAGGCTCCTCTGTCCATGGGATTCTCCAGGCAAGAATACTGGAGTGGGTTGCTATTTCCTTCTCCAGGGGATCTTCCCCACCCAGGGATCGAACCCGTGTCTCCTGCACTGGCAGTAGATTCTTTTGCCACCTGGGAGGCCCCTCCTTCTGGATACTTGGGCTGTAAGTAGTCCTAGCCTGGGTCCTCTCCCCTCCTCCACCTAAATTTATCAGCCACCCCAGGATACTTTCTGGATACATCTGGTATGTGTATGTTTATGCCTAAGAAACAAAGAAGGGAATTTTTTTTTTAATATTCTGACAACCAGAAAGAGCTTCCCAAGACTGAAAATGCATGAGTCTTGATCCAGGCCCAGGACCCTGGAATGGAGTTTGTGTCTAAACCAGTGATGTTACCCCAGGCCACACAGTGGAAGCATCTGGGGAGCTTTTACAAAATACTGATGCCTGAATCTCAAACATTCTGATTGTAACTGGCCCCTCCTGGGGCCCAGCCACTTGAATTATTTTTAACAGCTCTCCAGGTGAGGCTAATGTGTAACTTGGGTTAGGAGTCACTGGTCTAAGTGCAATTTGGAAAACCCTATTCATTGCTATCTCTCTTTATAGAAATGTTTATATCTCTTTACCAACAGGATATAAACATGATGAGAGTAGTAGAGACCTGGTCCTGCCAATGGCTGCACCCCCAGGATTTGCAGTAGTGCCTGGTACCTGGCAGGTGCCCAATAAAGGTCTGCGGAATGCATAATGATTGACAGCTTCACACGAATCCCTTAATGGAACCGAGATGGCTTCCCGGGAAAGAGGGCATCTTCTCCATCCCTCTGGCGCATGGGGAAGGATCTGAGTCAGTCCCTGTTTCTGGTCAAGCTGTGGCTCTCAGGGAACCCCCGAACCTCTCCTACCTCCTTTTCTGATCCAGTGCTTCTCAACCCTGGCCCCCCTTTAGAGTCATCTTAGGTCATTTTAAACAAAAACCGCCTTCAGCGGGTTTGGATTCGAACCTGGGAACAGGCATGTTTATAAAGCGTCTCAGGTGATGCTAATGTCCTGTCAAGGTCATGGCCAAGGCCGCTGGTCACGTCCCCTCTGCCCTGTGTCTGTTTTCTGACTTGAGCTAAGTTGGTGCAAGACCCCTGGAAGTGTTTTATGGGGGTGTGTGTTGGGAGTGGGTTCTCATGCATTGTTCCCTAAGTGCACCTGTTCATACCGTTCACCTTGGACGCGTGCTTAAAAATACCCTCCAGACTCTACTCCAGACTTACGGACTCAAGCTCCAGCGCGGGGCCTGGGGATCTGTGTTTTGATCAAGCTTCCAGGTGTACCCGTCCCCAGCCGCCCTTTCCGCCTGCACTGCCCTCTGACCTGCTCTGCCACAGTGAGCTTCTTCCGCCTCTCGGTTTGGTTGCCCCCTCCGAAGCACTCTTCCTCCAGGTCTGCCCGGCAGTCAGGTCGTCCCAATGCCATCTTGCCAGAGAGGCCCCTCCCCCCCACCCCCTCGACCATTGAGGGGACCAAAGCCGCCCCAGCCCCCAGCCTTTCCCCTACATCTCTGGTGAGTCCTCTCCAGACAGCCCAGGGGGATGCTCTTTGTTCCAGAGTTTATCTGGGTCCTGACTCTTCCCCCACCAGGACCTAAACGTCTTCAGGCGAGAGTGTCTGGTGTCTGCTGGCCCCCGCAGATGTCAGGCGGCCAAGAGGTGTCGAGGGAAAGGCAGGCAGGACTTGCGCCTTGCCAGTATCTGGGATAGTTTGCCAAGTCCTGGATGTGACTGATGGAGGTGACAATCGAGCCACAGCTGCGGGGTCACAGAGGCTCAGGTCTGCAAGAGAAGGCAGTGGGTGCACCGCGCCCCACCCCCAACCCCCTTGTTGGTATCAGCCGGTCACCCAGGGCAAAAAGACAAGTGGCTGTCTCATCCGGATCCTGGGGCCGGCAGGGGCGCAGCGCTTAGGCGGGGAAGGTGGGAGCGGCGGCCGCGCCGAGCGCCTGGCCGGTGGCTACGCGCGGCGCCGGGCGGTGAGGCCAGGACCAGGGACGGCCTGCTTCCTCCCGGCCGTCCCCGCCCTCCCCGGTCCCGGGGTGTCGCCCCGCCCCGCCGGCCGGGCCGCGCTGTCCCCGCCTCCCCTCCCCGGGCTGCAACAGGTGCCTCCGGAGCAGGAAGCGCGCGCCGCCGCCGCTCAGCTCCCCCGGGCGCGCCATCCCCGGACCCCGCGTGTGTCCCCACGAGGACAGTGACCCCGCCGCTCCGCCCGCCTCTCCGCCCCGCTTCCTGCTCCCTTCGCCCTCCCCGGCGAGGGGCCCGGGAGTCCACCGAGCCCGCCTCCGCCCCCGGCCCGCCGCTCCGCGCGCCATGGACGCCCCGGAGCCGCAGCCCGACCCCGACGGCGGGGACGCCCCGGGCCACGAGCCTGGAGGCAGCCCCCAAGACGAGTTCGACTTCTCCATCCTCTTCGATTATGACTATTTGAATCCTATCGAAGGTCGGTGGAGGCTCGCCCCGGCCTGGCCCCCGAGCCCGGGCTGGGGCTGGGGCCTGGGCAGTGGCCACGGGTGGGGCCCCTTTGCCCCACGCGTCGCATTTCCTGGGGGCCTGAAGTTGCGGTCGTGGGGGGAAGTGGCCTCTCCCCAGGTGAGAGGGAGGGCGGGAGACGTCGGAGACTGCAGCCGCCTTCAGGGGGCACTAGGCTCGCTCGGCCTGGCGGGGCGTCAGTTTCCAGTTCCTTCTCCCTGAGGGTCCCGGTAGTGAGCAAAGGGGAGCAGGGGTCTCAGCGGGTCTCTTGCCCGCGGGCTGGTCATCAGCGCGCGGTGGAAGCTATGGCTTTTGTCTGTGGAGGGAGGAGGTGAGGAAGCCGAAGAATGGAGCTTTTTGGCAGGGACTGGTGCAGTAAGAGGGCCGGTGAGGCGGATCCGCCCACCTCTGAGCCCCACCATGTGCGAGCCTTGTTGGGGACTGTGCGCCGACTCTAAGGAAGAGGGTGTCTGTAGCTAATGCTAGAGGGTGGTTTGCCCTCCTCTCAGGCGGCTGGCCCATTTCCTCCCTGCGTTCTGCCGCTGCCGTTTGCACATCACCTCACATGCTTCAGTCTGAGCTTTATTAAGTGGGCCCCCCGCCGCCCCACAGGCATCCAGAGCGTGGGGCTTTGGAGGGTGCCCGCCTGTGGTCTCAGGAGGGTGCAGGCTGAGTCCTGCCTCAGCGACCTGTCAGTCTGTACCTGCAAGTGCGCTCTGCGCCGGGGGCTGGGGATTTCCCCGGGCTGGGCCGTCATTTCACGTGTTTCACAGGAGCCTTGGTCAGACGAGGCAGTCGGTCGCACCCCCAGCCTCACTGTATTTTTCTGGTTAGCAGGTTGTCTTGGAAAAAAACAGAAGAACCCAACCAGGCTTCCTGATTTTGACAGCCTAGCCCAACTAGTGCTTGTTGAAGCCTTGGGGGCAGGCCTGCTGGTGACTTCCAGATGCACTTGGGCTTGGCTGCCTCAGGGGAGCAGGAAGGGGTTGTGCTGGCTGGTGTGTGGAGGAGGCCCTTCCGGACTCGCTGTTTCGCAGAGATGCTGCGTGAGGCAGAGAAGTTTTAACTCGCCCTCCGCAGTGTCTTCAGGTGAAACATCTTAGGTGAGGGGCTTGCTTTGACTTCAGAGATGCCCTTCACTCGGATACCAAGTGAAGATGGTAGTTAGTAATTATTCTCTATTTTGGCTGGAGATGGAAATAATTAGCCAGCCAAAGAGACCAGTCTTCTTGAGTTGCAATCTGGAGGCCATCCTTTGCTTTGAAAAGATACAATTAAGAATCTGCAAAGGATCCCTCTAGCATCAGTGGTCTTGCTCTTCGTTAAGATTAAAGTCATGTTTGGAAGGAATACTTAACACCCCTCCCAGATTCACAATCAACGGATTTTTTTTTTTTTTCCCTGCAGCGGGGAGATTTCCGGGGAAATAGTTTCCAAGCCAAATCTGATGGGAGGTGCTTTTTATAGTTTTTCTTGGCAAAGGGGTGCTTGGTGGCCGCCAGATGGGTGTCTAAATGACTGCAGTGAAGGCCCCAGAATCTATCTTTTAAAAAAATAAACTTTATTTTTGGAAACAGTCTTAAATTTACAGAAAAATTGTAAAGAGTAAGCGAGCTCTTGTATACACAGCACCCAGCTCCCCATAGGAGGAACATCCTTTGTTAGTAATGCATGTGTTATAACTAGCCAATATTATGATACAGTTTTATGAAGCTAAGTCCATACTTTGTTCAGATTGTCTTTTTTTTTTAATGAGCTTGACAGTTTTGAGGACTACTGACTAGGTACATTGTAGAATGTCCTTTCAGTGGGGTTTTGTTTTTCTCATTGTTAGACAGGGCTATGGGTTTTGGGGGAGGAAGACCACAGAGGTAAAGTGACCATTTCCATCACATCATATCATGGGTACCTACCAACATGATTTGTCATTATTGATGATAGCCTTGATCTCCTGGCTGAGGTAAGCTTTGGCAGGTTCCTCCACCATAAAGTTACTTCTTGCCAAACATGCAGCCCAACTTAAGGATGAGGAATTATGCTCTGGAATCTGGAATCACTCCTTGCTGGGAAGGCACCAGGACAAAAACGTCATGGCTCAGGAAGAGAAGGGATGTCACGAGCCTTGAGAGGCCGAAGCAAGCTGTTCGACATGTGGGTCGGGCTCAGGCTCACTCAGATGCTAATAGCAGTCACTTTTCTCTGCTTCCGCATGATGGAACTCCCCAAGGGTCAACACTAGCCTGTGTCTTGCTAATGGGCTTTGTCCCACATGACAATATGTTGGTGAGGTGTTCTCTTTAACTCTGGACAATGGGCTTGGCAAAAGACCAAGGAAGGAAGAGGATTGCTCTGGGGATGGACATTGTCAGGAACTGGTGATGGCATGTAGGGAGTTGGGGGAAGTCAGATGCTTATTTTATGGAACTTGAGCATTCCATTAGCCCATTAACATGGACGGCTGTTATTAGCCTCTGTAGTACTCCTCCAAGCATAGAAGGTACACACTTCGTAGAAGGTCATCATCTTCATTTTGTAGAGGGGGTTGATGAGGCACAGAGAGGTGAAGGAACTTTCCCCAGAAGGCAGAGTTGGTAAATGGTAGAGCTGAAATGTGAACCTGGGAGTCCTCCTCCAGAGCCTGCTTTCTGATCTACTGTGTGAGTTTCTTGTCCCCTCTCTTGATGAGAGACACATACAGAGCAGTTAGGGGCCTGGCACTGTGCAAGACTGGAATGTAAAACACTGACAAGATGATCTTGGGTAAGTCATTTAATCTCTCTGGACCTTTGTTTGCTCAGCTGTCATGTGACTGAATGATAGTACTTACCCCATAGAACTGTTTGCCTTGACTGGCTTAACCCATTCAAATCAGTTAACACAGTGTGATTTGTCACTAGCTTTTTATTAATCCTTTGATCTCGTTAATAGAGGTGCTCAATTCACGTGAGTCACTAGTCATTTACTCATCCATCTAATTATTGAGCTCCTGTGGTGTTAGATCCTGGGGATGTAATAGAAAATGAGACCCAATCCCTGCCCTCAGCAAGTCAGTTGCCTCTAATTGTTTTTCTTGTCTAATTGCATTGACTAACACCTCCAGTAGCATCTACTTGGTAGTGGAAAGTAGGCATCCTTGCCTTGTTCCTGACCCAGGCAGGAGAATCTTTAGCGTTAGCTTTAGAATTGAGTCGTGTGTGTTTATGTTCGGGATGTATCCATCCATTTCTGTTTTCATGAGTGTTTTGATTAGGGATGGGAGTTGAGTTAGGCCACAGACTTTTTAGCATCTATGGAAAAATATGATTTTATTCTAAGATCATTTATATTAATAGATTTCCTAATGTTGAAATGTTCCTGGCATTAACCCCACATGGTCACTGTGTATTATTTTCTTATGGTGGTATTTTCTTATGGGCCTGGCATCTACTGGATAATACTTTTTTAAGATTTCTTTTAGCAGTATTCACCTGGTGGCTCAGTCAGTAAAGAATCTGCCTGCAATGCAGGAGACCTGGGTTTGATCCATGGCTATAGTCCATGGCATCGCAGGAGTCAGACATGGCTTAGCAGTTAACCCATGAGTGACATTTGTAATGTCCTTTTTGGTGTGCTATCAGGTTTAAATTCCTCCTCTATGTTCAGGAACAGTGTGTGTATTATTGGGACTATCCAGTTTCTCAAATTCTGACAGGATTCCCCTGTGAAGCCATCTGGGCCTGGTGCTTTTTATGGTGGTGGTCTGTGATAACTTTCTAGATTATATAGATTTCATAGATTGTGTCTATGGGAATTGGGCTGTATACATTTTCTCTTTCTACTGGAGTCTGTTTTGGTAAACTTTATCTTCCTAGGAAATCATCCATTTCACCTTTCTGAATTTCCAGATTTATTTACTTAGAGGCATGCAAAGTAAACTCTTATCTTCTTTTGAGGGAAAGAGCTAAATAGATAGTAATAGAAAGAAGGCAGACAGGGCTATGGGAGTTCTGACTGGGGCTTCTGAGACCGCCTTGGAGGGGAGAGGCATGCTGGCTGTCGGTAGCCAGATCAGACGTTTAATTTCTTTGCATGTGCACGTGAATTCAGTGCATTCTTACTTCTTCCAACTTGTAATACCCTGGGAAAGATGGATGGACCCTGGGGGTCCCCGGTCACCTCCAGAGGTGCCAGATCTTCTCTGGGCTGCAATGGGAGGGCTTGCTTCTAGTCTGCCTCGGTGGGTCTGGTGTGATCCTCCTCTGGTAAGCTGATGCATATGGCATTAACTTTGACTTTTCAGAAAGGAAAATGGACTCCTGACCATTGCTTATAGTTTGTTCTGCTGATCCTCAAACTCTTTGGGTCACAGACCTTTGAAAGGCTGATGAAAGCCTCAGGTCCCGTATACTGCAGGAGCACACTACACATGTGCATACCTTCTGCACCAGACAAACCGGAATGGAAAGGCGCTCAGTCGTGTCCAACTCTTTGCAACCCCAGGGACTAAACAGTCCATGGGATTCTCCAGGACAGAATACTGGAGTGGGTAGCCTTTCCCTTCTCTGGGGATCTTCCCAATCCAGGGACTGGAGACCCAGGTCTCCCACATTGCAGGCGGATTCTTTACCAGCTGAGCTCTGAGGGAAGCCCCAGGCCCCAGCACTCATGCTGTGCCCACCGCCTATTCCCTTTTGCCCACGCTTCACCTTTTACACCATTTTCAGGCAGAGTCACAGACCCTGCTGCGGCTCATTCTCTAATGTCACCTGCACTTCAACTCAGGGCCACCTGCTCTCCGCCCGTTCACAGAGCACAATTAAAGCCTCATTCTTTCAAGCAAACACTCATTGAATGCTGGTTTTGTGCCAGGCCCTGTGGGAGTACAGAGATGAATGAAATGTGGTCTTGCCCTTGTCTGGCCCCCAGGCCAACGTGGGACACAGCCTGGTAAACAAATAGGGACAAATGAGGTGCTGATATATAGTATCGTGG